CAAAAGAGAAGACAAACGAATCTCTGACTTGATAAGATAATCATCACTAAATAAGTATGTACACAATATTGCTAATATTTTCTCGAAAACCACATACCGGTAGTAATTTACAATAATTTTCGATGGCAAACATCGAGGAATATATCAAACCCAATTTTTTTTATCGCAATAAGTTTTAAATAATAAGGAAGTCAGTGTTCGTGAATCGTTTTATATAGATCTATAGAATATTTTTAAGGACTTGGTCTAACGCGTATTCCGATGATCAATCAACTGTTTTGATATGACATAATTTTGCATTTAATTGGCCAGACACTTGTAATACTGTATTATATTTCACTGATTTAACACACCCAAAAAGGTGCCTTTTAAATTTCGTCTTAATTTCCAGGGTTAACTGGTATTGTTTTCGTATAAGATTGATAAAAAAATATGGATATATGGTATGATAACCAAAGAGACAACTATCCACTAGAGTTCAAATGAAGTGGAGGTGAGCAATTACTGGCAACAGTATGACCGTACTTTATTCTGTTAAGAATTTAAACGATGCTTAAATGGACTGCGCTCTTTTTTGCGTGAACCCCCTGAGGGGTTCACTCTTATATATTGGCGAGTTTTGGATGTGTCTATGGGCCACTCGATATCTCTCGGCCGAAAGTCAGAATAAAATTCTTGGAACCTCTCGAAACTTTTCGATCATTTATACAGGTAGTTATCTATGTCTTTGATACGGCCCCTCTATGGCTAGGCTATATAGTGACATTGTATATTTCAATAATCAAAGTAAATTGGAAAGTAAAACAATAAAGACTAAGTTGCAGTCAAAAATCCTTAAAATATAAGAACCTATTTGCCTTTTCACAAAACATATGCGTTTTTAATAATGTGAATGTTTATTATATATCAAGTATAATGATAACGCAATTATATAATTCATGCTTTGAGACGGTCCCTACTCGTTGTGTGCGTAGTATTAATAAACCTGGGAATATTTAATTGACATACAATGACCCAGAATAAACTGATTATTTCTGAACGTTTAACATTTGAGATTCAGTATTTCAATCATAGCATGAGAAAATGTCGGAAAGCATGAAGAAAATTAGGAAAACGATATTTCTGTTAAAAAATATTTATTTGAAGTCGGATATACAGTGGTCGGAGAGCAGAAAGATAATCAAACAAAAGGATTTTCTATAAAAAAATATCTAATTTCATTAATAAATACTACCAGGCTAAGAGAATATTCATTGTTAAGGTTAAACTGGGACTGAATTTATTCCTAATAATTATAGAATATAATCAAAATTGTAATTGTATACCTGCATTATGTCTCACAGGTTTGATCAGTCATTACATTTATGAAAATCATTTGTAACGTATGAGCACTAATGAGCAGGGATGCGTACTCAAAATTAGCTAAATATCTAAATTTTAAATGGTCGTGAATGAAAAAATACTTGCGTGGTTTCAATTCACAAGGATTTTAAATCTTTGCATCTTACAAAAAACGTAATTAATGTTTTACAATAGTCATAACAAAATTAAGTACTATCATAATGTCAATTATTTTATACTTTTTAGTAAGGATTTGTAAGTCACTGCTTATATTTTGTATAGCAATATATTCATAATCTTTAAAAAGAGATTCATTTGATAAATAAAATGTCCATCCGTAAATACTTGACATTTGTGTTTATTGATATTATATTCAAGTTATTTTCGGAAAAAAGTTCACTAAAAGGAATGCATGTTTTATTAGTTCAACCTTATAGCATCTAAATATTTGTACTATGGTACGGTTTTGAAAATTGTATTCGATCAATTAATGATCATTGTGTTTACCAGCTATCCTACAAGTCTTGATTCATTCACATTATATATCACCCTATTTACCAGCTATCCTACAAGTCTTGATTCATTCACATTATACACCACCCTATTTACCAGCTATCCTACAAGTCTTGATTCATTCACATTATACATCACCCTGTTTACCAGCTATCCTACAAGTCTTGATTCATTCACATTATACATCACCCTGTTTACCAGCTATCCTACAAGTCTTGATTCATTCACATTATACATCACCCTGTTTACCAGCTATCCTACAAGTCTTGATTCATTCACATTATACATCACCCTATTTACCAGCTATCCTACAAGTCTTGATTCATTCACATTATACATCACCCTATTTACCAGCTATCCTACAAGTCTTGATTCATTCACATTATACATCACCCTATTTACCAGCTATCCTACAAGTCTTGATTCATTCACATTATACATCACCCTGTTTACCAGCTATCCTACAAGTCTTGATTCATTCACATTATACATCACCCTGTTTATACCAGCTATCCTACAAGTCTTGATTCATTCATATTATACATCACCCTGTTCACATGCACGCACACTATCGGTTTGCGCACACTAAAATTCCGGATAAAATGTCAATGAATCCGAAGTCAAAACACTTGAGTTAGGTAGTTTGACATCCGAATTCAACTTATAGATTGATATATGTGATGAAGCAAATGCGTATTCTTATCGAGAGTATCAGTGCGTATGCTTTTATTTACTATTTCTTGCGCAAAAATACCACGTTTATGTATGAATAATAATTTCTCACGCGAATGCGAATTTTTGCTTTTCTTATATAAATTCAGGACAAAGCAGTAAGAGCTTGACATGTGACTTTTAAGCACGGTCATCATTGCTTATGGTATATTGACCTCTAGCTGTTTCTCTTTTGTTTTCTTTTTAGAGTCAGTGTCCTTTAAAAAACTTTGACATTTTCGAAATGCCAAGGATTTTTTACCCAAGGAATAGATTACCTAACTTCGTAATATATTTGGACTTTTTAACTATTTTTATTTGAGTGTCACTGATGATTCTTTGTAGACTTAACTCTCGTCCTGCGAACAACATGTTAATCCTGGTATCTTTTTATATCTACATGTCTTTTTATATGTCCTTTTGAGAGTATGTTCAGGTATTCATAAAACTTCTGAAAATGAGATATTCCTCAAAACCAAGTTTCCCTCCAGAATATATTGGATTGATTTAAGTAAAATCTGGAAATCCTTAAAATATGAGATGTTTTATGAGACCTGTAATGTATTTAAATTGTTTATCTAAGGTCACTACAGAACTTAATTACTTTAACAGATGCAGACCGTTATAATAGCGTCTTATGATGTGTGTAATTTGTATTAGTGTATCAGTTGTATTAAAACCATGAAACTGTGCAGACGACTTTATTATCTCTCTAGCATATAAATAGTAGCTATTTTACAAGACCAAAATAAGTCTCTATATCAGAGGTCCAAATGAAGCTGGTGTGCTACTCTCAACTGAGAAAAATATACGAAACCTTCTTATAAGTTGCATGCCACAGGGTTTCACTTCACATGAAAAATGGACGTTAAATTTATCTATACAACATCTACCATTAGTACAGACAACTTTAATAACGAGTTGAGAATATGAAGGCATCCAGATTAAAAAGCAAACTGAGTGCTTAAATATATATTGCGATTGACCTGTGCAATTTGCATTATACATCCGGTTTATAGAAACTGGGATTTGCAATAGGATTATGAAAAAATGATGTACATTCCCAAGTAATAAATGAAATAGTCGAGCTTTAAAATGTATATTCAAATAGTAGCTGTATAAAATTATACATTATTCACAACTATTCAACATTGCTTTCAACTGTCTTATGCAAGAATGTACACTATTCTTTCAATTCAAAAGCAAACAAAAATTCAGCAACAATCTTTTGGTTATCAGTCAGCGGTCTTAGGTTCACGTATTGCTTTTCTTTTTTTAAAGAAAGCAACTTGTTTTTTATTTCGCTAAAATGGCCAAATTTTAAATTCATAAAAACGCCCTATCTATTCACTGACAGTCACTTTTTTTCTCTTAAAATCTTATCCCATATGGGAGCACAACTTATGCTTCCGAAAACTTCACACATCATCTTCTATCAATTACCCAGCAGGCACTCAACGTTGATTCAACGTTGAAACAAGGTTGTTTCTGAACGTTGAAACAATGTCAAATTTATGTTTGATTTTGAAAATATGAATTAACGTTGAAATTTCAACGTTGAGGTTCCAACATCCATTCAACGTTGATTTAAGGTTGAATAGTAGTTGAAAGTTTATTAATAAAATTTAGTATAAAGCTACATACACATTTATACCTGCTTTCCAATTTTTGTGCTGTTGTTAGATGTAGACAGGCAGCCTGGTTGTACAGTTTTTTTTTAATGTTTTTTTTTCTCACCAAGACGGATAAGTTAAATTAGAGACATCTAAATAAATACATCAATTGTTACTGATACAACATTCCGTGCTTGTACAGTCAATAATCTAGACCATAAATGTCATATCTTAAGATCCTGTTGGCTTCTGTGTCTCTCATATTTAAATGTTAAATTTATTGAAAAATGTGTATTTATCTATTAGGAACAAGAAAAACTACAAGAAGGAATAGCTGAAATGATTGTGTGTGTCCAATTGTATTTCAAGATAACTAAACATAATTATCTAAATTGATATACAAGTGGACACCTACCATTTTTTGATATATTCTTTCTTGTAGTTTTTCTTGTTGTGAATAGCTATAAAAATACAAATCATTCAATGAATTTGAATAAAAATTATGACATACACTTTATTCCCACCACAGAAAGCATCACCAAACAGAAAGAAGATGTTGAATAGTTCTAAACAAATAGTCCTTTAAATATTAAACGACTGACCAATGCTAAGCCCTTCTTAAAAGTAGTATATATCCCAAGAAGAGTGAAGACATTATTAGATCCAACTTGAGTTCAGGATGATAGCAATACTTCTGAAAATACGAAGATGCTGCATGACTGCTATTAAATCAGACAACTCTCCACAAAAAACCAATTGTCCTTGATTGTATATACGTGTAAATATATATATTACCCTCACACCTATAATTGGTATAAACAATTAAATGAATACAAATTTACTGAGGAACAATATCAAATTTAGTAATACAATATTTCTTTTGATACAACATTTATTTCATAAATTCATTTGCTATCTTTGTCTCTTTTTGTCCTTTTTGCATGTCAACTTTCTTCCACCACTCTGAGATCTTTCTGAGGCAGACTTCAAGTTCAAGCAGGAGGGATCTTTATCAGATATGTGTTTCTCAGTGACATCTTTATACTTTTGCAGTATATTTAACCTCTGGAAAAGATAAGATGATAATAAATATAAATTGAATGTCCTGAAAAGATACTCTAAATTTGAGCCACTTTCAATTTGTTTCTAGAAGCAATGAAAAATCAAACCATAACAATAAAATACATATTGTAATAAGGTAATCATTAATACAAAAAAATATATGCATTAATGTTTACTATTAGTAGTTTTTGTTAATGAAGAAGCATCTACTCGCGATTTGTAAGATTGCAGGTTTGACTATGTAATTGGTAACCATGAAAACACTTGACCCATGACGTTTTTTTATTGATGACTGCACAAGTCTATTAACATGAAATAAAGAGCTTTACTAGAATACTGTATATAAGACAAACACCGAAACATAATATGGATTGTAAGGTTAACAAAAATAGAATGAACAAGATTAAACTTTGAACACAAATGATATATACAGACAAAAAACCTACCTTCACTGATTTTATAGACTGGAATTCCCAAAACTGAATTTTGATTTTGCTCCACTTGATGTATTTCAGCCATTGATTTGTTTGACAAGATTCTGTAAAATAAATAATACATGTTTACGATAATGGACTGCTAACATTCAGCGCAAGGTTCAATACACATACAGTAAGAAACATTACATGATAATGTTTTATGAAAAGGAAATATAATGAATCTTAAATGATAGTATTTACTTTGTACATGTATGTTCTCAATCATGCTAAACGCATGTCCTTAATACTAAATTCAGCTTATTCTTTTTAGTGTGTTATACATGTATGTGTAATATTATAGTCTACCCTTCACATAAATAATTGTCTTTGTCGAATACACATTGTTGAATTTGTGTTTGGCTAGCAGGTGATAATTCTATTATTTTTCTTAGTTAACTAATAGCTAAAAGTTTCTAATGCATGTAATAATGTCATTATTACATACATTAGAAACTTTAAGCAATTAGTTACTATATATATATAAAAATATTAATTTTCGCGAACCATTTAGGTCACGGAAATTCCATTTTTTGCCATCAGTAAGGAGAGTTGTACAAATAATGTGATTACACAGAACCCCGATCCAATTCATCTTTTGCTAAAAATATTTATCATTTTCTGTTTTATATCTCCCAACATCATTCCATTTTTCTCTAATTTCGATTAAAACTTGCCAAAATCTGCAGTAAAAATAGATGTATGCCCCAAATAAACATTCCCCGATTGGTCGAACTACTTTTGCGTCGATGTAAGCCTCGATGTAAAGCAACGCAAGCCTCGATGTAAAGCACACGCTTCCCAAGAGTAAGGAGAGTTGTACAAATAATGTGAATACACAGACCCCCGATTCAATTTATCTTTTGCTAAAAGTGTTCATCATTTTCTGTTTTGTATCTACCAACAACATTCCATTTTTCTATAATCGCGATTTAAACATGTCAAAACCTGCAGTAAAAATAGATGTATGCCCCAAGTAAACATTCCCCGATTGGTTGAAAAGCTGTGTCCTTGATCTAAAGCAACGCAAGCACACGCAAAAATTTCCGTTGATATGTTGAACTTCGACCCCGGGCCGATTCACAAGGAGACTTTCTTGCGCTCAAATGTAATTCTAAGTGAAGTATACTGGGAAAGTAAAATTATATTCTTTTACAGAAATATTAACACATTTTATCATTAATGTATTGTCATGCTTCTGCATATTTACGCTGAGCTTTAGTTAAATATAATTCTACACAAATTTTGTTACGTCAAGCATTAAGAGTAAGAATATATTTCGCGCCAAAACAAGAAAATAATCTGTGTCACCAAATAAGTTGTCAGCGTCTTTCTGAAATTTTCCAATAGAAAATAGCGTTTAGTGTAGAGAAATTTTGGTAAGTATTACTTATTAATGTTAAGGTTCTCCAGAGGTGGTTCTTTAGACCTTCTTGACGGTCAATTTAATCCCATTTATCAATTATCCCCGATGACATGCAACCCAGTCGATTTGTGTCATGAGTGAAAATCTTATCTATTTGATGAAATAACTTCTTTATTAACTGTACATGCAATATTTTTGTAGTTTTTGGTAACCGTGCACATTCCCATTGCATGTCCGCAAGATAAATGGGTTATGCATTTGTGAATTGTTTAATAACAGTAATTATGTAATGAGAATAATGGCGGACGATTAAAATTTGTGACGTCAGTGCGTGATCACGTGACATTATTATTTGTAAACAAACGGGCTCCCCATGTAACACGTGTCGGAACTATCTATACGAGGTGCAATCAATCTTATATTTCACTATTTGATATTTCTATGTCTGTTTGTAGGTTTTGCAGATCAGATGTCATACTCATAATGTAGTTTCATAGTCATAGACAAAGTACCATTGTTCCTGTTCAGTAGTTGCAGTAGTTGTGATTTTTTTTTTATAGAATTAGAAGGTAAGTCTACATTAGTCATTCTGAAAAGAATTACTCAACTCTCTGTGTAATTTTTCCTTAATTTTTGAAACAAGCATAATATAAAAAGCATTTGCTTCCCTTGAAGTTGAACCCCCCACCCCCTTCAAATTGCCCAAAACTCATACTCAGTCTAAGATTACTCTTGACGTCGAACGTCTGGTTTGCATTTCTGGCATTTTAACTCGTATTTTCAAATTGAACACACTCTGCCATTCAGCTTTTTTGCATCATAAATGAATGAGGTGTTAGATTATGTTTTCCTATTGAATATGTGTCATTTGCATAAATCAGCTCCCATAATGCATTGTAAATTACTTTTTTTGTTGGTCATGTCACAATCTGTTAAGTGAAAGTTAAAATGCCAGTATTGATGTGTCAATGTGAAAACTGTCCAAATATGAAAAAATTATTAGTGGCAGGTCGAATAAATTTACTTAAATGAAGAGAAAAATGAACAAATTGAGGCTTGATTAATATGGATCAGTCACCTCCAGAAACAATCAAGCAGCACATCCACTTTGGACTGGCAAATATCATCTATCTGACATGGGACGAGCTGAAGAATCACTGCCACAGTTGGTGTGGCAAAACAGTCGTTGGAGGTCAGAGTAATCTCTGACTACAAAACTCAATTCCAATGACAAAAATGCCCTAATCTTAAATTGAAAGCAATGGAAAAGTAAACTGTAAATTATAATGTTGACATGCTAACTTAGGGAGCTACCATTTGGTTTTTAGGGGGGGTGGGGTTCCTGGGATGAAATTTGAAAAAAGGCAGGAGGTGAATTCTTTAGTAAAAAAAAAGGCAGGATGAGACAATATTTTAAAAAAAAAAAAAAGGCAGGATGACAATTTATGTAAAAACAAGTCGGGATAAACTAATAGAAAAAAAGGGAGGACCAAAAACAGTGAAAAATAAAAAGGCAGGACAGATTACAACTCAACTGAAAAAAAATGTAGGACAAATTTTTTTATCCTAGCCTCTCCCCCCCCCCCCCCCCCCCCCCCCCCCCTTTTCCCCCATAAAAATGGAAAGGAAGCTCCCTTATAGTGTTTCCTTCAGAGGGTGTTGGCCTGGAATGGTACCCTGCAGTTTTCATACGCCTGTTCATGAGAAATATTATGGTATGCCTTTGTCCGTTTGTCTGCCCTGATCTATCTGTTTTTAGCATGCTGTTCACTAACTCCGTAATATTTTTACCAATTTGCATGAAACTCTGGTGAATTGATTATATCTACTGGTCTGAGCTCCCTTTTAGATTTTAGGAATTTTAAAATTTACGTTTTCAAAATGTGAGGTTTTATTCATTAAAAAAGGGGGATTTTCATGTTAACGCCCATTAACTCTAAAAATGCTTTGTTCACTAACTGTTCAAAGCTTTCGCCAATTTGCATGAAATTGTTGTGAATTGATTATTTTATACATTTTAGGTTTCCCATTTCAGAGTTATATGGGATTGTATTCATGTATTGATGTGAGCTCCCTTTAGATTGTTTTGGAATTTTAGATTTTACATTATCCAGTCACAATGTAAGGGGTTTTATTCATTCAAAAAGGGGGATTTCCATGTTTTCGGGCATTTACTCGAAAATGCTTTAAGCAGTTGTCATTTGTCAATTCAGAGTTCGCGAAAACTTATTTTGGTCCGTCGGCCATGGGACCGACAAAGCATGATTATTTGTCAGTCCTACAAAATCTGTCAATTTTATCCTGAAATAAAATTAATAACATATTTTATCGAAAAATAACTTTATTAATATTAGTTTTCTTCTTCGCACCCACAGGCAAATTAACAATGAAGGACCAGTTCAGGTCTTCTGATTGTTCTTAATTAAAGTCATCTTCACTATCCATTTCATCATCTGAATCACTTTCACGGCTGTTACAGTATTAGTTTGCTTCATTGTTGGGTTCAATCGCTGATAGTTTGCCAGCGATGGCTCTATGAACAAATTTAGTAGGCCACGTGTAGATCGCCGCTTTGGTTTGTTTATAATAAATCCATAAACCAGTACCAGAAATTGGCAGCGCGTACATCTTATAACTGATGTAAACACTTACTGGAAACAGTTGCGGTAAATCTAATAACCGAAGTAAAAAAGTGGCGAAATATGCACTACAACGGCCGTTTTTACATCGGTCATCAGGACCGGCACTAGCCTTCAAAATACTGGTCCGAGCCTCATTTTGACCGACAGGACCGACCATTTTCGCGAACTCTGCTGTCATGAAACTTTGGTTAATTGTTTATATCTATTGATGCAAGCTCCCTTTCAATTTTATAAAGTTAAGGTTTTATAGTTTCAGAGTTGTGGGATTTTATTCATAAAAAAGGTTGGATTTCCCAGTCTGCGGATCAAATTCTAAAGTGTGTACATGCACTTCTCTGGCATGTTTCAGTAAATGTGTAAATTATAACTGACAAAACTAACTTTGACAATGACCACATATGTTTAAGTTCAATGTACATGTAATATACAAGGTAATGCATATAGAGGTGATACTATACAATTTCGATTAAAATATTATAAAACCTGCAGTTCAATAGGTCACATGCCCCAAATAAAATTTCCCTGATTGGTCGAACTACTGTGGCCTCGGTGTAAAGCAACGCAAGCCTCGATGTAAAGATCACGCTTCCAAAAATAGAGGTATGTCCCAACTTAACATTCCCCGATTGGTTGAATTGCTGCTCGATGTAAAGCAACGGAAGCCTTGATGCAATGAAGAAAAGGGGTTGACAGGATAAACGTAATCGTTATAGATTTTAACTTCATGGTTCTAATCAAGCAAATTTAATAAACAATGATTTTATACAGTTGTGTTATTGTTTTCACCTTACATAGGGCTTTATTTCTGATCTTATTTCTGTGTACACAATTCTGAATCTACATATTTCACCTATATCAATATTAGGTAATCCGTTTGGACGATTCCATATACTGTTATGTTTTTGGGTTTTATAGCTTTAGTGTCGAGTTGGTGTATAGTATTGAGGGCTATCTGCGAGAAATAAATCCTTTTTTCTGATAGATTAACTAAATTCAAAACCAATATAAAAAAAGTTAAAACATATATTTTATTTAACTGAGTAAATTGATCGGAATGTGAATGATACATAAACCTAAAATTCGTTTTGGTCTATCCCAGTGATGACATTTGCGCGGGAATTTAGTCCATTGACATCATAATATAATTTACTTTGGGTT